CTGGGGATTGGACTTCAACATATAAATTTTGGGAAGACACAAACCTTCAGTCAATGGTGATAATGATGTGTCAATGTAGGTTCATCCATTTCAGCAAAGGTACTGCTGTGGTGGGGGATGTTGATAGTGGGGGAGGTTGTGTGGGGGGCGGGTGTATGGAAACTCCTGTACCTTCCTCTAAATTTTGCTACAACTGCTCTAAACAATAAAGTCTATTTTTAAAACTCCTCAAGTGATCAAATGCAAATTTACATATATAATCAAGTTTGAAGCATTTGGGTTAAAGTTCTAGAATATCTTTTTACAAGAGAGCCAGCTAATTTCTTTATAATTATTTATTCTTGTAAGTGCCTGGACTTTGGGGGTCACTTCTAACTTGAAAAACTGGTGTAAAAGTGCTAAATGGAATGTCCTTTCCTCTAGCACCTCCTGCTTTCTAAAATTACCACTAGGGGAGATTGTCCTCGGTGTTTTGTTACTAGCGGGGGACGTGCCAGCCTGGCCACCTGAGGGACTTGGCTCTTGGTTATCGGCCTGGTCTCTGCTCTGAGCACAGCTGGCTAACAGCAAGTCTTGCACATTTCCGCTGCTGGGGTCAGGTCAACTTGCGTAAAATTTCCACAGATCTATTGTGTTTTCCCGAAACTGGGAAAGGACACCCAGCCTCTCTGAGAGATTTCATTTTGTAACCCCCTGTTGTCCACAGGGATGCTTCTGTTCTCCTTTTGCAAGCCTGCTAAAAGACATGGCCACTTTCATGTGGCATTAAGCCTGTTCATGTCTTTATATATTAATGCTTTGGATACCGCCCAGGCACACAGGGCTGTGACCAGGAGCCACGGATTTGCAATAACCTCATCGGGGTTACGTCATGCTCTGTGCCCTCCCATGTGGATGGCTTTGGACAAGGTTTTTCAATACCTTGAGTCTCTGTTTCCTCCTCTCTAGAATGCCAGTCTTATTTGCCCCCTACAGTTGTTGTGGGGATTATACTTAGATGTGATCCCTATGGCAGTTAGCCCAGAGCCTGGCACATTACTAGCGTTATTTGTTACTCTTTGTTAATTATGTTCCATCTGATGAAAGCAAGTGGCATAGGATCAGTTCTGTGAGCCTTGAATAAGTCACTGGGACACCCAGAAACTCATTTTCCATACCTGTAAAGTGAGTATTAAAATGCTTTGCCTAGCCCTGGCCAGTGTGGCTCAGTTGGTTGGAGTATTGTCTGGTACACCAAAAGGTGGCAGGTTCGATTCCCAGTCAGGGTATATACCCAGGTTGCAGGTCCAATCCCGGATTAGGGTGTGTGTGGGAGGCTCCCCATTGATGTTTCTCTCTTACATCAAGGTTTCTCTCTCTCCCTTCCTCTGCCCTCCCTTCCACTCTCTCTAAAACCAATGGGAAAAAATATCCTCACTCCTCAGGTGAGGATTAAAAAAACAAAACTTTGTCTATTTAACAAGTTTGTTGTAAGGACTGTATGAAGTATTGGATATATAATTTTGAAAAGTAGGTACCACTTCCTGAGTACTTATGAAACCCCGAATATTGCTAAGGGTGTGAAATCCCTCACAGAGAGTGGTTACTAGTGGCTTGGTTTCCCCCCTTGTTTTGGGGGAAGGGCTTATCTTCCTAATGCTCGAATGCAGGGCCACACTGACCCTCCTCATTTCTCCACTTAGACTGGAGGCAGGGAGGCCATGGACTTGGTTGTCCTTTCAGCCTCATCTCTTCCAATAGCCCTTAGGTTGACTCATCCTGTCTGTTGAATGAATGAAGAGAACAAACCAGTGACTGACCTGGAGGAGCAAACGCAGGCTGTCGCGTTTCCTGTCCCCAGGAGATGCAGAGGCCACGGTAAAACCTAAGGGGTGCGGGCCCAAAGTGCGGCCTCGGAGCCTCCTTATGACTCACCCAGGGGCTGGGGTGGACCTGCCCCCAGACCCAGTGAATTCGTCCAGCAACCTTACATTTTAAACAGGTAACCCCTCCTGAGCCCGGTCTGGAGGCCTCAGAGGGGAGGAATCTCATTGGGGGGGTGGGGGGAAGCAATCAAGGCGGCTTCCCGGAGGAGGCGGCCTCGGGACTAACAGAGGCGGCGGGGTGTGTGGGAACTGGCAGGAGCTCGTCCACTTCCGTAGCCCCGGCGCCCAGCAACCGCAGGTCGGAGCAGGCGCTCGGCGCGGCCGTGCT